TTAAATTGTTAGAGCAATTGATTACGAATTGGGCCCAATAAGGGGCTAAAATTTTAATTTGGATTTTAAGCCCAACTTTTATGTCATCTCGTAGGAAATATTTTTGTGATCGCGTCGGTTCAGACGGCTCGCGAATCGGAGTTACAGAGCTCAAGTTATGACAATTTAATCAGGTATTTTGGGTCCGAAGCCCAATCCTTTTTGGAATGAGACCATTAATTAAACCTAAACCTATTATCTACCACACAAACCTTATCCTTCTTTTCCGTCCTTCTCCTTTTTCTTCTTCTTCTTCGCCCTTCTTCTTCTTCCTTCTTCTTCTTCTTCTTCTTCTCCTTCGCCGATCGTCGCCGCCGTGAGCAAGCCGCCGATCGACGTCTGCCTCCTCGCCGCACGACTGCTGCCTTTCCTCGCCGATGCCCCGTCGCTCACCGCCAGGTCCAGCGCCGCCGACCACGGTTCCCAATCTTCGAGCCGCGGTCGTCGCCGTCCAATTGGAGCAGCCAGCCGCCGGCGTCGCCCTTCCCCAGCCGGTCGCCGCCGCTGTTTCCTTCCCCAGCCTCGCCGCCATCATCGCCGACGGGTGCAGCGCCGCCACGCCAAACGGAGGACGTCGCCAAACGCCGGACGCCGCTGTTTCGCCCTCGCCGGAATCGAGAGCCGCCGTCGCCCGAGCTTCCAGCCGGTCGCCGAGCTTCCAGCCGCCGTCGACCTTTGCACAGCAGCCACCCGCCGCCGTCGATTGCAGCGCCGCCAGTCGCTGCTCATCGCCGTCGAACTGCCGCTCCGCCACTGTCGCCGGCGTCCGTCACCATCGCCGCATCCGGCCGCTGCCCCGAGTTGATATCGCCGGCAGATTAACCCCCACGCCGGATTGATTGGTCGATTTCGTATTTTGACTCGATTTGAACCGTTCGGTTGATTTCGTTGATTTGTCTTTCGTTCGAGCTATCGATTCGATTTCGACGTAATCCAGGTCCGTACTATGAAGTTAATAGCATTCAGAATAGATTTAATGGTTTGGATCGTTATATGTGTTTATGCTATAATTTGGCTAAATTGGTTAATTGAATTAAATTGATTGTTTGAATTGAATTGTTGAGGATTGTGAATTGACTGAACAGGTTTGACTTTGACTTGGGTTAGGTCATGTTTGACCTAGGCTTTGACT